GAGGTGAAGGCTATAGGGATTATGATGATATTTACTTTTTTCTGAATGTCATATTTTCTTTTAAATATTATGCTATAACCTTTCTCTCATTGTAGTTTGCTTTGCATGTTAAGGCAAAATTGATTCCTGAGCAGGAATTTGACACAAGACTTGTGTGTTTCTTAAATTTTGTGTAAACTCCAGGTGGTGCATGGATTGAAACTGGCATTTTGTAGAGTTGAACTTCACCTTTATGACCTGGTTAAGGCATTTTTAACTTGATATCAGCAGGTCACTTGTGAGGACAGACACCTAATAAGAGTTGATTTAAGCTTCACTTTTTTCATGCTGAATTTCTAGAGGCTTTGAATAACAGCTGTAAAGAGTAATTCCTATTTCCTCATTGTTACAAGACTCTTTTCAACATCAGTTACCTCATGCCTGCCTACTGAAAGGTCCTAAGGAGCTGTGACTCTTATGTCCTAGACTGTCAGTACACCAGATCAGCCCACCATTTTATCTGTCCCTGTGGTCAGTTTGCCATGATGCCCATAAATGAAGAAATTCCTGAAAAATACCTGTCCTTAAAAACTGACTTCAAATATATATAATTTGGGTATTTAATTAAAATTTGAAGTTGTCGTACACTTTACCATCCACTTAAATTGATGAGCATTTTAATTTGGACTCTATCAGTGCTGTCAGTAAGACATGCTTGACTGTGTTTGTCTTATGTTCCCCAGCCAAACTGTTGGATTCCTTATGAATATTGGCCAATTCTTAAACTGTTTAAGGAGCTTTTTAGTTTTCAGGTATGCTTCCACAGTGGTACAAATCAGGATATGTTGTACTTGCTTTTATTTATGAGGCTGGAGGTCTTTGTTTCATTGTTGTATTAGTCCTTGTTACCTGAGGCCAGAATTTAGGGCAATGCTATATTAGTTAAAAATTAGTTAAAAATATACCAAAATAAAGTCATGTTTTAGTTGACTTATTTTACTTTATTGCACTGTCTTTATTCAGCACAAGGATTAATTGTTTTTGTTATGCTTTATCATGTAACAGTATAGGAATTGTAGCTGGCATGGCCTTCGATTCTCCAAAAACACAGAATTACAGATTTCTTTATTCTGCAGTCATGAACCAGTACAAACACTGGAAGAAAGGAGCATGTTTCTTTCTTCCTGCCTGTAAGGCCTGGGGAACACCAAAGTAAGTAAACTGGTACCTACAATGGAAAACAGAGCACTGAGAATTGCAGAAGAGCATAGAGGTGGACTACACATAGTTTTGCAGGCAAGAAATTTAATTAGGGCTTGGTTTCAGAAGCTTTGATGTGCACCTGTACAATTGTATACCTACATGTCTCATGTCATTATAATCAAAACTGCCTTTAATAGATCTTATAAAAGCTAAACCAGCAGTGATGGTTAGTCCTTTTGTAAATCTGGACAAATGCATGAGGATTTATGAGTATTTTCAAAAATAATTATTTCAAAAAATGACTGAATTTGTGGTTCCAATTGTGCTTTTATAATTAAAAAAGCATTTCTATAAGACTGTGCTGTCCAATTTAACATTGTTTAAATTACAGTCTTTCAGTCTTCCTTGCTCAACACAGTTTCAGGGCAGCCTCATTACTTCTTTTCTGACCTTTGTCTGTGAGTTGGTTCTGAGATAATGTCCTGGAAGGCTTCAAGGCTAATACATCTTTCTGATTTAACAGGATTCCCTTGGTGTTCCAGACTTTTTTGTTTTCTTTCTCTGAGCTATCCCAGTGACATGTACTCAGCACAGCACTACATTCATTAGTGCTGAAAGTGTCCTGCTGATCTCAAAACTGAGCAACTGAAGAAAAAATCATTTAAGAAGGACCAATCATCCTCTAACTTTCTATGTAAAAAGCAGTGCAGAAGGTGCATCAGTGGTTTGTGTCTGTATCCTCTTAAACTCTATGGCAGCACAAAACAAGAGCTGTTTCTCTAACCAAAATTTATGTTGGTGATTATAGGAATAGCTTCAGACTATAAATTGAATGCATTCAGAATTCTATTAATGCTTAATAAATCTCTATTGTCTTGACATCTTTATATGCCAAAAGGTAATTTTTCTTTGTATAAATATTGGTGTTTTAGAATTCAAACTTCTTGAAGTGAGTGCTTCAGGGGAATAGCAAGATCAATTGTGTAGTAAAGGGCTTTTATTTTAGCAGAGGTTAAAAAACAGCCAATGTACTGAAAGCTACTTATAGGGTTGCATCATCCAAGTCTGAGATATCTACAGATAAAAGTTACAATTACCTTCTAGTAGATTTGTTTTCTGTCTCTTCTAAATCTGAGGCCATATTCTATAGGAGGAAAGCAGCTTGACCCAAAAATCTGTGATGTGTTATTTTCTATGGTGCTGTTGGTTGATGCTACATCAGTTGGGAAAGCTGGGGCAGAAAAGTCTGCCGTCAGCTGACTTAGCAGCCCTGTCTTCTCACTGCAGACTTCTGAGGAGCTTTCTCCAGCTGAGTTGCATAGATAATGATTGTTCATATCTTTCTGCCCTTCTGTGGACTTTGGCAAGTGCCGTGCTCTTCCTGTGTCTGCTTCAAATCTCTGAAGTGTGTTTACCAGCACTCTATAAATTGTAGATCTCCTTTAACTTGAAGGAGACAGGCAAGGAGATGATACAGCTCTTGCTGATAAGCTGTTTAGTGTCATGTGCTTTGTTAGTTCAGCTTTCTTTTTATTGACTTTCCATAGTTTGTAGCTTATCTGTAAATAATGCTGAATCAAGAAATAGAAAACAGAGCCAAATAGAAAAAGGACTGGTTTTATCCACTTTTTCTTAAAAGCATAAGATCTGTATTTTGGAGCTTCTAGTGCTTAGGATATATTGTTTCACAGTGCACAACTTGGACAGATGTGATATATGGTGCTTTGCCAAAACAAAGACTGTAATATTCAACTGTCATCTCCAAACCTTATGTTTTAAGGCTGGATGAAGTAGCATTGAGACAGACTCTTTGAGTCAGGGCTGTCTGGAAATAAAATCTTCAAAGTAATAGTGATGGGAAATGTTATATTGTAACTGTATTAGAGCAGCATTGGTAAGCATTCTTCTCAGGAGAAAGAATTCAAACCCCTATGACAAAAACACATGAGCAAAACATCACTGATACACCTCAAAAGACAGAAATAGTGTGACCTCTTGCTTGGTGGTGCAGGTAAGAGTAGAATAGGGCACTGTGAGCCCAAAATGTGGGCCTTTCTGACCAGAGAATGAAGCCTTGTCCTGTGCCAATCTTCCTTCTGCTCTCTCTAGAACCTCCTGCTGAACTTCCCAGAAGCAGGCGGATCTGGATGAAAAGTTTGGGGGTTTTTGTTTGTGTTCATTTGTTCTTATAATACACGCTTTTCCCTAAAGGAGCCATGTTATTCCATGGTCCTGTGGCAAGAAAGCAAGCGGGCTTTTACAGCTTATTTTCCTTATGGAAGTAGAGGCATTCTACAGAATCACTACTCAGTCTCTAAGTTTTAAGGTTGAGAGCCTGGAGGAGCAAAGACCCTCTAAGCTATAAAAACCCCACAAACTCAGCTGTCAGGATCTCTGTAGAGTTATCACTTGTAGGAATAGCAGGTGGCAGCACTATTGCAGGTTTGCTGCCTTCAAGAGCTTCCACATTGGGCAGCCACCTGATTTGCCTGTGTCTAGAGCTCCTCTTTGGCTGGAACACGAATTTTTACGAGGACCTGAAAGTAAGGGCTTCATTTATCATAAAAACTACTGATTTCTACACAGTCATTACTTATGTGACTAGATTTATCAGAGATAGTATGCTGCTTACACAAATAACTGCTCAGCTGAGTAAGTCATAATGTATTCCTTATCTCTTGTCAAGCAGTCAATTTCTTCAGCTGAAAGAAACTTATTACCATAATTAATTGCAATATTAATTATTACACTGTCTTGTATTGAATGTTGTCACTAGCAATAAATGTAAAAGGGCTTGAGAATCATTAGGGAATTATTTAAACTAGATTTTATATGTTTCTTAGGTTGCTCTTAAAAAAATACCAATCCTCAAGTGTTTCCAATACTAGAGCAGTTTAAAATCTATTATATATTTAGTTTGTTCTCTTGATATTTACTTTTAAAAAAAAACAAACCTGTTATTGAGGTATGTTTTGAAAGGATAGGGGGATCTTCTCTGGAGTTCAGGGTTTCTATTCTAGTCCTCTCTTTCCCTGGGAGAGCATAAATGTGTGCATAGCCTTTTGAGCCTGTTGTGGCTCAGGATATGCAGCTGTGGAACTTGAAGCCTTTCATCTTCTTTTTTTAATCTGCTTTCATAGCCACAGGTATAAATGAAGCATTTGTTTCCATTTTCTCTAATTTTCTGCTTAGTTTCTACAAAAGCAGACTCTTCTTGGAGGCTGTAAATAATCCATTACTAAGATTCTTTTTTCTTGCAATGTTATGGGTTTTTTTTCAACAGGGAATGGACTATTTTGTTCAGTACTGTAATCTAAAACATCCCTTCTTTCTGGAAAGGCTGCTTTTACTTTCTACCTGAATATGACTGGGCACTAGATAAAGAGCTGAGCATAAGTTTAAAAATAACAGATTTAAAAAAAATCAATTAATAGATCTAAGCCAGCAAAGGCAGACATTTCAATTTAATATCAAGTATAGTCACTAACCCTTGCTGCCATTTTCTGTGACCATTCCAACCTTTAGAGAATTGTGTTGATTTAATTTGAACTAAAATTCAAAGTTACTACAAAGTCAGAATTTTTGATGATGCTGTAGAGAAAATGAATTTGTTCTTTCCTCCACCCTTTTCAGGTTTTTGCTAGGTTCTGGTTTTGTTTTGCTGGCTTTTTTTCTTCTGAAAGACAAAGAGAACACAATTCCCCTGGCTTTGTTTGTTGCCTCTGGTCCAGAACAGAGTTTAGTCATTCCTGTTATGCTCCTTTCTGTGTAAAACAGTTGAATCTATTTTGTGACTTCTTTTTTCCTTTCACTTCTAGTACCCTCTCTGTTAGAGGTGGGAGAAAATGTGCCCAAAACCAGATGACATGAGTGTGCTGTTGGCCAGGAAATGGCAGTTCAAGCGGTAATTTGTTTACAAATGTTTATTCTAAGAGAACATGACCTCGGTAATGAATCTCACCTGTTCATATGCTGCCAAAAGCTACTGTCAGCATAATCCCTATAGCAACAACAATGCCAGTATTCTGGGTGCAGGAAATTGAAATCTATTACTAATGTACCTGGTGTATTTGCAATTTTGTGTGGATGGTTACTTCTGATTTTTTTTAAATATCTAAATATAATTTACTCATTTATAAATACATCCCAAATGCTCATATTTAGGACCTGTATAAAAGAAAAAGCAGAGAGAATTTGGATAAGAGGAGCTGTGTAGTCAGGATCCTGCTAATGTCTTCAGATAACTTAATATTTTGGAAAAAAAAGTTGCATATACCTCCTTGCTGTTCCGGTTGTTCATTTTGCATAGTTTTAAATCTAATTTTAAGGGGATCTTGTGATTGAGATTTGTCAGAAACATCATGCCCTGAATCATGAAAGGGATATTGTGGTCAGATTTTGTTCTGCTCTTTATTGCTTATATGTCTTAACACAATTTTATTTTTTTCTTAGCAGAAATGAGAGTAGTGGTTACTCTTTGCTCATACACAGCAGGAATTAATCATATGGAAGGAAGTGGAAGATGGTTAAGCTGTTTGGGAACTGGATAACTTCCGTATGTTGCTTGCTTTCTTTCTTTCCCTCTAGCCTGGATTATGTGCTTATTTGTATGTCTTTTTTTAATACTCCTCTTTCTTCATTGTCGTTTTATTTTGTTTTCTATGCTGGGAAAGTAGCTCTGGAAAATTGCCAGAGCTTGTTTTGGAGGAAAATATAACGAGAAGAATGCAAATTCCTGATGGTGATGGATATGCTGTCTTGTTTCAGCAGCACACAGCAGTCTAAAGTTGAAAAGTCTAAGGTGAATATTTCATGTCTGCTGTAACATTTAGAAGCAAAACTGAATTTTATAGAGACTGGTATTGTCACACCACTGGTAATATTTAGAGCAGATAGTTGCATTTTATTACTGCATTAATTGAATTAATAGACAAATTGGATAATTTGATCTCCAATGTCTCAACCAAGAAAACACAGTTAGCAATGGCAGAACTGGGAAGGAAAACCATGACTCCTGAGAAGAAAGTTATTGTTCTGTCTTTTAGTACTTCTACATCTATGTCCCTATCTAAGCAGTATTATTTTGTGATATGATTGTAGTACAGCCGTGTATTTAAAATTACAGTTCACAGCTGCAGACAAAACCTTGAAATTGTTGAAATACTTGAATTAGAAAGGCACAAACATAGATGCATCTTTACTCACAACCTTTACTGAATGACTTCTGAGTCTGCAAGTGGAGTGGGCACAGGAATTAGGTACTTGGCCCCTGAGTTTCTTCTTCCATGGCAATGCTGTGACTTAGTTATTACCAGAATATCTCATTACTGCAAGTAAGTTTTTCCTGTATGTTCTTTTGCTTGTTTATTTTGCCCTCAGGGTGCTTTGGTTGGCCTTAATGGAGGAACAGAAGCCTTTCAGTTGTATGCTTATCAGGATGTAAAAAGAGGTTTGCTCTTACTTTGACCACTGTAAGTGGTGACAAATCTAATGAAATAAGTGAGCTGTAGAAGTTCTGTAAATGAAATAGCAAGTATTTATCTTGTCTCCCCACTCAGTCTTGATAGGAAAATGAGAAATCTGGATACATGATAACATAAATAACCTTTCCACGGAGATGGGGAAAATAATTAATGTAATTGTAAAGGGGGCATGGCATGCCTTTCTTCTTGAGCCATTTCTACTTTGGCCCTCTGACTTCAAAGCCTGAAATGTACATTAATGTAGCAATTCAGTGAACTGCTGTCTAGTGCAAGAATTTTCTAAAAGCTTCTGTTTTGGTAAGGGTGTAACTGAGGCATCATTCCTTCTTCCAGAGAAATATATTTTTTTATATTCTCTTTCCCTCTGTATAAGCTATGTATCCAGCTAAAAGGATTTATTAAAATCCTTTTCACTTGTTTGTGATCAGGAGAGAGGGGGGAAAAGTTATTTCTTTGATGTTCCCAAGGCTTTCTGGATTAAAATCTGAAACCATGTCAAGCAAAAGCTGTGACAGTAATGTACCCTAATTTGTTTCCCTGAAGATTGATGTGATGGGTTATTCAAGCTTACCTCTCTCTTCAGTTGTTTGAACACCTAATTTCTAGATACTCATGCATTATTCATCTTTAATGCTGATTGTAAACTGCTAATAAAACAGGAAATATCTAACTCCTCTTATATTTTGCACAATATCCTTCTTTCTGTCCTTTATACATATTTTCTTTTAAATTTACATTGTCCAAGATGAAAATATACATATTTGAAATTATATGTGTGCATTCTTATAGGGCTGCTGGATAACTATTTAGCAGATTGTCTCCCCTATTTGTGACAGATATTAATGTGTCAGTACTTTAAATTATTGCTACAGGAACACAACGTTGTACTTTATGTTTATTTGAGTTGGAATATGAATTATTATTTGCATACAGACAGCAGAGAGCAGTAGTCTGGACTTGGTTGGGTGGTGTGAAGGACAGGGATAGAAAATAATTTCATAATCGACAGCTTTAATGGATGATAATACTGTAGGAAAAAGCAGAGCTGGCTGGCTTTGGCAGCATATTCAGTCTGAGGATACTTTTGTTATTATTTGAGCTAACACTGACATGAAACTAATGAAGATACATTTATTTAGATGTGCTGTGTGCAGACATTACAGACACATGGCCCCAACAGATGAGAAAATAGGTTTAGCTATTTTTTGAAATGTTTGCTGCTGGAGCAGGCTAAAGAGGACAATATTCTTGAATAATCAGATTTGTCTGTGCTTAAGAGGTTTTTTGCACTAGAAACGAGGAACTTGGTAGTTTATCTACTTTATGCCCCATCAGGATCATGAGAGATGCATCTCTGCAGCCAACTGCTACAGTGTAAAGCATTCAGGGGTGTCCGATTAGACCCAGAGATGGGGATAAACTTCAGCGGCAATAAATGAAACAAATTGTGCACTAGAAGACTGGGGTGTTTCAATGATGCTGTAGTGTTTCTGAGCTCTAGAAAAGTAAACCTATTTTCAATTTGCAGCTTTATATTGGTGTTAGAGAGACACATGAGTTATGCCTTGGGTTACATCCACAATTCAATATTTCAGCCCTTTGTAGGCTGTGGTTGTGTACTATCTGTTCTGATACTTTTGTAACCTAACCTTTCTTTGTTTATACTTTCCTACCTAACTTTTCCCTTACTGTAAGAGGTTGTAACAAAGATTTTCTTCCAAAATCCTTTTAAAAATAGTAAAAATAAACATTAGATCAGATGTGGCATTTTGCTTATGTAGCTTGACTGCTGAGAACAGAGAACCCAGCTTCATTTAATTTGCTAAATCGTCCTTCAGTTCTTCAATTTTAGGCATTAGCCATTAATATTTATACAAAGTCTTCCTTAAAAAGAAAAAAAATCAATATACACATCTAACCTTAATAAGAGGGGTTTGCTGTTAATCAATAAGATCACTAACATAATGAATTACCCTTCAAAATAGCACTCTAGATGTTTGGCTCCATCTTGAAATCTTTCAGCATGATTGTACTTTTTGTGTAGAAAAGTATTTCAGTATGTTCAGTGAGGCTAATGTTCATTATGCATAGGGCATCCAGATCCTCCTCTTTAGGAGAGTGTATGGGTTTTTTTGGATGCTTATACAATCTGTTGGACTTTATATTAGACCCTAGAATTTGACTCCTGTCTGAAAGAGAATCAAAGCCATATATTTTTTCCTCCTGGATATATCATATTGGGTATTTCTGTTAAGATTGGCCTGGGGCCCACAGGCCACGCTTCCTGCCACTTCCTTCAGTTGGTAACTTAACAAGGCAACCAAACAAGCTGCAGTTTCTTGCAGTTTTACAGAAATAATATTTCATTATGCTCAAAGTCTGAGGTGACTGTTTCTTATCTTTTGGGTTAATTAATTTCTGTGCAGATTAATTTCTGTGCAGTCCTATGGCAAGGATAAACCATGACCCCCAGTTCTGATTCACATAAAACTAAATTCAATTACATCTGTTTCTCTCAGTAGGTGTGGTCCTTGTATGATAACTTTGCATATTTTTGCTTGTTTTTAAATGATGCACAAGCTATTTAGGAATAGGAAAATTAATGCAGAAATAGCTTCTACTTTTTCTGCTTCTTGCTGATGTTCCCCTAAGCCTTGAGGGCTACTTCTTACATTGAGCTCCTTGTTGCTAAAGAACAGTTGGTAGCCTTTACTTGTGTTCCTGAGGGGAAGAGAGAGTACTGAAAAAGAAGTGGGTTTATGCTTTTTGTTCCTCTTCTTCAGCATTAGTATTTTTCAGCTGCAGCAATGTTATAGGTGGTGCTAAAATGTCTTTAAATCCTGATGTTACACATCTGGCAACTTGTAATGGAAACTATTTTCTGAATGTATGTAATGCAGCTTTTTATAAATTGGCATTTAAACCAGGTATTTCTTAATTTTAAACAGGGTCATGCAATATTTAAATCTATTTCTTATAGCTCTTTGTGGGCAAAATTCCACATTTTCTTTAGAGAGGATTTTATCTTATGATGTTAATAATTGAAGGACAGTTGGAACTACAATTAAAAAACAATGAAGCACACCAAATTGTATGTTCTAATAATTCATAAGTCATGTTTACATTCTGATAGTTCCAGTAAAGGATTTCTTTTCCTTATGCTAATGTCTGTCCTTTCTTCTCTTTCTGGGAGGAAAGTGCAGTACAGTGAAGCTTTCAAAATCTGAATCTTTAGTTCTGGATCTTAAAGGCAAAGAACTTAATTTTCTTTTATTCCTACTTCTCTTGCAGAGATTTGAAAGCTTGTGTTCAAATGTATTAAAACAGACAGAATGTAGAAATGCCTGGGAGAATGTGATAACCTTAGGAATCACACAGAGCTCTAAAAGTTACCTAATATATGAGATTATTTTAAGTATCTGTTACTTTTGGTTTGTTTACTATACACTTGAATTATACATAGATATTTTATGCTGTTTTTTTATATTCCAGAATTTCCTTTACTAGTAAAGATAACATTTAATCACGACAGAAGATTAAATGGCCTGTGCAGAATCTTTCGCCTCTGGTAAGTGAAAAGCAAACATCTTCACTCTGCTAGATCTCTTTTTTTTCATTACTACAGAAAAATTAAAATTATTTGACTTGGCCTCAGGCCTTCAATTGCTCTGTTGGGTTATTAAAAATACAGTGAAGAGCCAGTAATGAGTGGTATTCCTTATGTATCTTGGCTGTTTGTTCTTTACAAACGGAAGATTGATTATAATGGTTAAGAGACTTGGGATTTATTGACTTGTCTTCCTAGGAATTTTTTATCTCATAATTGCTTTCAAGAGTATTTTCCTGCTTTTTTCACCCCCATTAACCACTGAATCATCTTTTTCTATAATAATCAGTAGTAGCTGAGAATGCTAGCCAGTAAACTCAGTCCTAAGACCTGGCTTTTTCAAAGTTATTAGGAGTATTTGAGGGTGCTTACCGAAGTGAGGGAATCTAAAATATTAGTTAGGTAGAATTATGGATTTTACTATCTTGAGGGTAATTCATCTGCTTTGGGAGGTGAGTTAAACATTGTATCAGAAATGTCCAGGGGTTAATATTCGATTGTTTCCCCTTTGTATTTTAAACAAAGAATTTGTTAATTGTCAGCTCCTCTCCTGTCTCTGCAAAGAGGTTCCCTGTGTTATTCACAGGTGAATGTAGTAGTTATTACAGACATGTTATGAGCAAACCTAGAGCAAATTAAATACTCTCACAAAAAAACACAGGCCCATTTAATGCTGATATAACATCCCCATGAAATACCAAACCTTGAGTATTAGAACACTGATGTACTTTGTTCCAGTTTAGCCATATTCATTTGGGGTTAAGCAGATAATCCTATGAGCTTTGAGTTTTCTTTGTAGTCTCTCACTTCTCTGGTGGAAAATAAGCTGCAGTACAGTCTCAAAAATTAACGTAATGCTTAAACTCTCAAATGCTGTGGTTTAGTGATAAATACTTCACAGTGTAATCCTTGCTCCTAAAAAACATTTGGAAAGAAGAAGCAACTTTATGTAAGTGATAATGAACTTTGAGGCTAATTATAAATTGTAATATGCATATATTTCTAGATATGAATTAATAAAATATTGAAATCAGTTTTAGCACGTAAAAGATGTCTAGGAAATCTGTGTTTGGGATGAGAAAGAATTATTTAGGGAAAATGATGTGATGTGCATCTTTTAAGAGTACTGACATAATTCCATTTTTCAGAAAGAATGATGCAGATTCCAAACCTGAAAATTATTTAGACTTTATGAGGTATGTAGGTCTTAGGTACCTATTATTTGGTTTATCACAGTACTTTGTTTTTTCTTGAATAGAATTTGGCATGAAGTTTTTTGGGGTTTCTCCAGTATACAAGATATTACCATAAATTAAGGAATGTTAGGGGAAAGAGGTACAAAGACATCAAGTCCTTTGTTTCTGCCTGAGCCTGGCTCTGTAAGAACAGACTTATAAAAACTAAGCTGTTTTATCTGGTATATGGTAGATTATCTTCAATAGTGAAATAAGAGGAAACAAGTTGACCATTCAGAAATTACTGTTGTTGACTTATGAAACAGATGGAAAAAGATTTTTGTTAAGCTGATTGTGTAAAATGGAGTGTAGCAAAGGAATTTGAATATGAAAATAAACTTGCAGTTCCATGGTGTCACAGAACCACATATTACAGCATATTGACATGTGCTTTTGCATTTACAAGGGGGATTGATGCCATACAGAGATACTTATTAGATGTCACAGGAATGGTTTTTGCAGCTGCATAAACAGTAGCTTTTATATTGTTAGATTGAGATGGGTGCTGTAAATACTGATTTTCAAAGCATAAATCAAGTCATCCAGGTTTTTGATTTTAAAATACTTTCTTTCATTATAATTAATATTCAGTTTTGGCAGTGTGATCCCAGTGTAAAATCATCTTATCTTTCAGGCTGGCATGGATTAGGAATCTTGCTTTGATAAACAGTCAACAGACCTGAGCAATCATAGGGCTTACATGTCAACTTTGAAATAAGGACATGTAAAAGTAAATGGACTTAACTGAGTTTTGCTGTGAACAGATACACAGAGCCTGACCATACAGGAAACTTGGACTGTAGCTGTGGCTTGGTACATCCACTCAAATTCAGTTGTTTCATTTTAAGCAGCAATTTACTCATGTTCCTAGGTATATGTGCTAAGATTTTTAAATTTTTTTTTTTTTTTTTTTACTACTAGCGCTGTTGGTACCCTTTCAGATAAAGGATTGTACTTAAATAGTTTGGAAAATTAAATGTTGTGATCAAAGATATAAGAACTTATTTAGGTACAAATAAGCCTTTTCCCCTCATTCAGCAGGTTTCCTGCTAACGTACAGAATTGTTTGTACCAAGTGTAAAACAAAGCAAAGCATATTTTAGTGACAAAGATTCTGTGAAGTGTTCACATGACAAACACCTTTTCTTGTAAATCAACGACAATTCTTTTCATAACCCTTCTTAGTACTGGCTTAGTAAAAATAGACAGTCATTATTGCGACATGCCATTGGAATTTGTAGATGCTATGAGGTCATCTTGTCTACAGCAGATGAGAGAATACCATGCACTTTAAGTACACATTGGTATTTCTGTGATCACTGAGGAATCAGGAACAGCATTAAACCTGAGTTTCCTGTGCCACTGCCATCATCTCTGTAAATACAGATGTCTCCTCAGAGAACTTGCAGGAGTTGTGAATCACAGTCAGTTTTATTTTCATGCTGGCTGTAAGTTTACTTCTACAATTTTTATCACCATTCATTCTTCATTAGATAGTTTGCTCAGATAGTCTAAGCTACTATGATAAAAGGTAAAAATGAGTTAGAAATCCCAAAAAGTAGTCAACACTGTTGGTCTTTTCCTGGTCAGTGTGTGTCTAGCGAGTGTGTCATTGCTCAGGAGCATTCAGTGCTAGCAGAGAATATTGCAGATACGGGTACAATGGAGTGCAAAATCAGGATGCTCCTAGAAATGTATGAATTTAAGAGAGACACAGGCTAATGGTACTTAGATACAGCACTAGTATGAAATGTGATATTTTTCACTAATGCCCCAAAAAAGTTTAAAGACCACAATATCAGCTTCAACCAGATTGCGACTGCTAAACCAGTACTAGATTTTTTTTCTAGAAGTGTCAGCTTTCTGTACTGTTATACCCAGCAGTCTACCCAGCTAGTTTTCATCTGCAGTGAAGGGAAGCTGATTATACTGAAAGTGGAAGTATGGCTCTAGTAGTTCTGACTCATTTCTTGAAGCACTGCTCAGTAACTGAACCCCACCCTGCCATGGGCTGTGTAGGCAGATTGGTTCTCAAAAACACCATGGGATATTGGAACCAGTTAGCCAAAAGCCAGAACTGGTTGTAGGAGCTCTGGGGTAGCCAAAAGGCAGCTGTGTTCTGACCATGTAATCACAAGGCTATGACAGTGACTGAAATATTACTCAGGCCATTTGGGAACTTCTTCAATTTTCCTCTTCTCCACAGACTTGGGCTCTGCAGGCTTCTTATTTGTTTTATTAGTACAGCTTTACTGTTCAAAGGCAACATAACTTGGGAAAGACTAGGGATCATATAATTTTTAGCACATGGATAAATATACCTAAAAAAGAAAATTCAGTCATGCAAACCTAGCATTTATAAGAGTTATATGGATTAGAATAACCCATGAAAACTACATATTACTTGTTGAAAGAATCTGGAACTAACAAACTGTCACAAATAGAGTTGTGTGTCCTATAGGTCATAGTGAGATACTTAATCCTGAGATCAATGAGAAGGAAATAAAATCTACCAAATGTTTTCATTAAATATTAAAAAATTTTCGAGTAAAAATTAACTAGATTTTTTGTAACATTTATTTTCTGCATGTAATGCATCAGAAAATAAAGCCCATTTTCATTCTTTCAAATTGAAATACATTCAGGGACCAGCACAAAAACTGGCACCAGGGTACTTACAGCCTTGTGGGTCTAAGACAAGAGCTGATTAAGTTCTTTTTTAAACACGAGACAGGGTTAATTTTGAAGTTGGGGAACATTGAAGAAACTCAATTCCCCATTCTTTTTCCTCTTAAATGTTGTACATTTTAAGCATTAAAAAACCCAACTTTATCATTCTAATAAAAATCTGTGATTACAGCTGTTCATCTTTTATTTCAAAGAAATGATTTTTCAGTTGTAAGGGTCATATATTAAGATGTTTTTGGGTTTTTTTTTTGTACTACATTCAGCACAACAAACACTATGGTTGACATCCATCTGTCAATAAAGGCTATGCCCAGTGCTAGCTGGGGGATCAGCTTTAGTCAAATGTTTCCTGTAAAAAAAAATACCCAAATAAACTCAAACTACTCAGGGAATAAAGTGCAGGCTAATTTGGAAATCATGAGAAGTATTCTTGGCAAATTGTGATGCAACAACTGCAGGTTATTCAGAGCTGCTATAAGGGACCCTGAAAGCCTTCCATACAGGCTAGATTTGGATTTAAGAAATAGGCTGTACAGTATCAAACCATGTAAAAAGCTTAAAAACCACAATGAGAATACATTTTAAAATTTTTCTTCTATATTGTAAAAATTTTTAAATTAGGTCCAAACCACCATTTAAAAAGGTATGAAATGTGCAATTTTGCAAGTGGAAACAAGGGGCACAAGAAGGATACCACAGGGGTTAATTGGAGTTGCTTTGTGATTTCTTTGTTTCCAGTACCTTCATATACCCAGTAATCACACAGACCTCAGAGCAGTTCTTTTCAGGCAAGTAGGACATGAGCTAAAAGTATCATCACTGATTTCAGTAGGGAAGATTGGCTGCAACAAGGAGTAAAAAGCTATTTTAAGAGACAAATGTACAGTACAATCTATTTATGTAAATACTTGGAAAACTCAGGAACAAAATTGTTTCCTAAGTACAGAGCTGTGAAATCAGTGCGCCATATGGAGCTATAATATATGGCAGAATATTTTAAAATCCTAAACCTTCTTGAACGAAAACTGTTGTAAAAGTCGGCATCTAGAATAAAATGACTACTCACTTGTGTTTTAACTGAAAGCTGCAAAGATATTTCAAAATGTAAGAAAATTAGTATCACTTGATATTGTTAAAAGGCAGCAACCCTTTTCACTTATTTCTCACAAAGCATAGAGTGTGGAAATGATAATTAAAGGCAAGTGAAACAGATGGCTGTAACATAATTTGTGAGTCTTAACTGGCACTTAACACTAACTCTACTTTCAATTTGACAAATACAATAAGACACCTATGTTGACATACACATGGTACACTTAACTACTTTTATTTATGCAAGTGAGGTATTAAAACTGTCTTGAAAAGCAGACATCTAAAGAAGAGAAAATGGTACGAAGAAGAGAATAGTAGTCATTGCTTTCACTGTTCAATGATTAGTAGTTGTAGGGTTTTTTTCTTCCAACATCCTATCTTAAAATTTCCATGCAAAGTCTCCATCTTACTTCTCCACTAGATAGGTAGCTTGGGGAAATCCACCACTTTTTCAGCAAGAATTAATTATGAAGACTGATTTTGTTTTCTGAAATGAAGTATAATAAGCTAAAAGTGTGTGCATCTCACACGCTGCATATGGTACACTTTTAATATATACACTGTCATTGTACACGAGCATTTTGTATATACACTGATACCACCTTCAGCAGGAAGTTAAAAGTCAATAGATAATGAACCTTGTGCTGTATCTTCCCTTCCTCTGACATAAATTTCACATGGAATCTCCTCCATCACCCTGTCTTCTATCACCTGCTCAGGGCAGTCATGAGCTTGCTTGAAAGTGTAAGTGCTTTTCTTGAATGTGCTGTTAAATGTTTTCATGGGCTGGGGCTGCGCAAAGTCATTGCGGAAGGGCAGTTCCATGGAGCTCAGGTTGGTCCTGCTCTGTTTGATATTGGAGGCCTGGGAGCCACAGTGGTGGTCATGAATGCATCTGGAAGCTGTTGAAGGGCGGCGCAGTTTCTGATAGTTTTCAAGTTCCTCTGATAAATCTGCCAAATCTGCAGAAATTTCTTTGTCCCTTAGTGAGAACAGTTCATAGTGAGGAGGATCAAAAACTTCCTGGAAACCAGTTTTATTGAAGGCAGTTTTGCAAGCCATAACCTTTTTGCGAGGTTGCTTTACTTGCACTAGAATTGAAATGATGAGAAGAACTAAAACTATCCCTGTTGTGATGCCAATGATTGTCCCATGGGTTTTGGTGATTTGTTCAAACAATCCAGCTTTTTTCTTTTCTGCAAAGAAAAAAGGATCATGACAAGACATTTATTCATTTCTACCCTTTTGATAATGTATTTAAACAAAGCAAAACTGTATTGAGATTGCCATGCAAGTGATAAAATTACTTAATGGGACTGGAGACTAGACCTGTATGTCAGTGGGATTTGTCTAATCCCCTGTCATTAGTGGCTACCATATGATAATTCAGTGGCAGGTGCAACTCTGTGAACCAGTGCTTGCTGACTTAGGTGGGGTGTGCCTTCCATCCTGAACCTTTAATGTTGGTCTGTATTCCTAAATCCATGAGCTAAATAGGCTTAAATTAACCTTAAATAGGTTAAATCCAGCTACAGATGATGTTTCTTTTACTATGGTTTGCTCCTGCTGGTAACATTCCCAGTGATGTCTGAAGAAGAAAACCTAGATTTAAAATTGTCTAGTTCTTCTTTAAAAGTGAAATATTATCAGATATAAGAATGACTGTACTGTTTGTTTTCACTTCTCTTGGAAATGTAATGGCTGTATCTATTGTGTAAGTCTGTTATACCTAATTCATCACAGGGAGCTTTAGCAAACTCTATTCCAGTTTGAAGAGTCCAATGATCAAGTTACTTGAAAAAAAAGGTGGGGTGGATACACCAACCAACCCAAATCATCTGGCAATTTTGGCTAGTACTTCATGTGAAAACACACAAGATGGCAGCATCAGAACAAGATGGTTTTCCATATTTAAAATACTTATTTGAAGATTAAAGTTTTCCAGTTGGATTTCAGTTCCAATAACTGTCTTGTCCTGGGGGACTGAGAGATTCCTACACTGCAACATTGGCAAGTGAGAGAAAAGCATTTAAGACTATGAAGAAGAATAAAGCCTAAATCTTTCATAACATTTTCAGATATCTGGCTTCTGGCATCTGAATATGTGTGTTATGTACCTCAATACCACACACAGTGCATGGGAAGAGTTATACACAATCATGTGTTATTTGAAACAATCCTTATACTAAGCAGAGACTCCCAAGGAGTTGGTTAATAAGAAATTACACTTCTGCTTTAGAGCTTGGACTGTTTCCTTTGAGCTACTTTTTACCTTTGAAGTGGAGTATCTCCCCTTGTCCTGCCTGTCTTAGATCCCATCCATGGGATGTGGTGCCATCCATGGTGGGAGGTATGAATTTCACTGCTATGGCAGTTCTCTTGTCTGCATCTAGATTTCTTAATTCTTGACAGATATTTTCATCAAGAAGTTGATTTTCAAAAGGCGATGTCTTCTCCAGTCTCTTAAAATAAATTGCACACAACTGACTTCTCTATCAATTTTTGTGTTACAGGGCTTAGGCATAAGTAGGTCACAATATGCTCAGATTTATGTAGCTATTGATATGGACTAAATGAGAACTCTGGGTGCCTGCAGGAACTGAGCACAGTTGTAAGCAGCTCTCTTTTTAAGGCTAAGAATTGCTTATTCAGTTGCATCAGTCTCCCTTAGCTGGCAATGTGGATCTAGTCTTCAGCTGTCTCTTAATTTCTGCTGTGCAAGTATTACAGCAGAATTTAGAGTGAATTCAACATAAAACATGATGGGTTGTTCAACACCAGATACAGCAATTTACAAATACTAGGAAAGACACAGTTTTTATGGAATTAATTTTGGTAATACTGCAGTACATGTGTGAAGTCTAGATCCTAGGGGAGAATCAGAAAGTAATTGGTAAAGATGGGAAAGAGATCTAGAAATTAAACTTAAGAGGGAACATGAAATATTATCTAAGGTAAGGATTGTTTAGAGGAAGCTTAGTTTTACATTTCAAACTTGGGAGTAATGGACCAGTTTTGTTGACTGGAATACTTCCACAATATACCTTACATTAGAATATCTATTAGTGGTGTGAATTTTTTTATTTACCTAAAATGCAATTAACAAGTAGGGTTGTTTTAAATGTTTATTTACTTTAAAATTCAAGCAGGATTTGTGCATTGAAAAGAAATTTTCTTTCAAGACTTTCTACAGAGAAAGAATATATAGAAAAGACTTTTCTATAGAGAAGGTTTTGACCCTTTCTGAAAGGGTCAGTTTCTCTTTGAAATGGAATACGTATTTAAATCTTCTGGAGTTTTATGTTCAGACCTATTGATGCCATTCTATTTCTCAAAAAACCCTAAGCAAACAAGCTTAAGTGCTTTTATTCTATTCTTTTATTTAGCAAGAAAAATTTTGACCTTAGACTGGTTTTGTTCTGACAATTGAGTTGCTCTTGAAGCACAAGAGAATGTCTGTGCTTTAACAGAATAACAATTTCTTCAAATTATGAGAATTTTTCCTACAAAGCCTGATATTGAAACAAGTCTTTACTGCAGTTGTGATGCTTGAAATAATACTCCCAACACATGTTCTAGAAGCAGCAATTTACATGTCTGTATTCCGTGTTTATTTCATTCTGCTTAACAATTCCTCCTTCCTCCCATCCTTTCTCACATCATATACAGCAGCTGAATTTATCCTGAAATAACCTGTGATTTACAACTCTAAACAAATGCTTTAAAATGGTCTTTGAGGGTTGTTGTTTCTATTTCAACACTGAGAGAGGCTTTTTGTGCTTGAAAACTTTTCTGTATTTTTCATCTCTTTATTTTTATTTCTAAAAGATATTACCCCTCCCTACAATCCTTGCTTCATTAAAGTTTAGAAATTGATAGGATGCAGCCTCAAAAAGACTAAATTCTAGTTCTTATCCAGCTGTTATCCTTTTAAAATATAGAGTATATGCTGAAGAGGAAGAAATTTAGTTAAAAACAGTAAGATCAATATTCAGGATGCTTACATGTGTCCTGAGTTTAAATAAAAAATTTGGAACACCTTCCTGAGATTAGTAGAATAGCTGTCTTCAGCATATTTCCAGGAAAAAGACATTTCATTACTTTCTTGAAAGGCAAACTGACCAGCCTAGCTCATAAAGGCTGTGGTTTGCACTATATTCACCTCTGCAGTGATTCTCATCCCAAGGGTATGCACAGTTCTGAATGCCGTTGCAGACTAAAGAATTATTGATGCACATGTTGCTATGACAGAAGTAAGTGTTGCCTGAGCAGGGAGCTGCAGGAGAGAAGAGAAAGAAAACATTCAGAATTTTCAGTAATTGATGCCTTGCAATAAAACTATTAAGTTTCTATATCTGTGGTTTTAACATGGATCCTTCCTCTCTGTTTGAAACACAATTGCTTCTCTTGCATGTCACTATCTGATGCTTTTCTCTCTCTTCAAGTGATTGCTATCAGCATATTATCAATGCTACAAAACCAATTCTTGCTCCAAAGGGGTACGTAGCAAATAGAGACAGTCACAAAACACAGATAATGGATGAAAGTTTTAGTATGTATCTATGAAAACTTAAAAATTGCATGCTCACTATCAATTATATATTTATTCCATGGAGCATCTGCTGCGTAGATGTTGTGAAGCAGTCTCTGAACATCTGCATTTTAGAGCCCATTAATATCTCAAGGCAAATCAGATTTCAGCTTGTGGAGGACTGTTTCAGCAATTGCAAGAGATTTCAATAACTCGAGGCATCTAAGTCATTCCTGCTTGTGAATCAAAAGCTCCTGCATCCTCCTATTAGAGCTAATGCAAGGATTGAGAGAGTACAGTTTAGCTTTTTATCTATCTATCTATCTATCTATCTATCTATCTATCTATCTATCTATCTATCGTCAGAAATTTGAAGAAAGAAATTAACTAGAAGGCTGCCCTATGTTTTTGTGAGTATTTGTTACAGCTCCTTGACATAAGATAAAAGATGTTAGAAAGAAGTAATAATTCTTTTCAGGGTGTTGTATCATATACAGAGGGAATTATTTATAAATTCAGGGCACTGGACAAGAAATTGGTTGTCCCTTTGTTTCAGTAATATGATATTTTTATGATGGAAATGTCTGTTATTAGTGGAGTCAGTTATATACTAACAGCAAAGATGTGTGATAAACATTCTACTATTTGGTTTCACAGAAAGAACGTGTTCTTGAGCAATCTGGATTCTCTGAAACATAACAGAAAACCCAAAGGGCAGAGCAGAGGGAATGACTGCTCCTGTACATTGCATTTCTCACTTAGTCATTCTGCTAGGCATGAGAATCTCAATGACAGAAAGAGGAATTTTGCCTTAGAAAAAAAGAACATTCAAACCTTTAATTTTGATTTTGCATCCCTGAATTAATTATGTATTGTCTTCCCATGGCTTACTCCACTGAAGCTGGGTAACCTACACTCATTTGTTTTAAGATTTTGTATTTGCTGTTAGTACTTAACCCTGGCAACGTGGCAAGAATTTTGTACAAGATTTGTACAAGATTTGCTTTAATTGTAGTGCAGAATGAATACAGAACATAGTTCAGAGTGTATTTTGGAACAGTTTATCTCTGTAATCTCAGTGCTTAAAAATGTCATGGTAGCTATCACATCACTTCCTCTCTCAAGTGAGTTGAGACTTTATTTTTTTGGAAAATAGATCTAGTCTGAAGAACACTGCTTTAAAACAGGGTCACTCCTTCAGAAGGTCAAGATCAGGCCCATTCTGTCAGTTATGCTATAAAGTAAACATATTCCCTTTCTCATTTCCCTGAACACATGATTTTTTTTTACAGTTCTGTATTTTTGGATGATGCATTCTGCTGTTGCTTCTCCATCTGCCAGCATAGTCTCTATTTCACATGTTTGTGTAGTCCCTGTAAGTTTTTGTGGGCATGGCTTTTGTTCACAGTTCATGAACATGGGACAAATGGCCTTATTTCCCTTTTGTCTGTTATTTGGGGAGTTTGAAGTCTAAAAGACACAATGGTTATCAATTCCAGCCTAGGACTTCAAGGACATAGCTGGACTCTTCTCACAACAGCTGCCCAAAAGTGGTGCAATGCTCACAGTGCTTTTTGTGTCCAGCATTAGTCATCTATTGAATCGAGCCAGGAATCAAATACATTGATTTTTCACATTGCTGTTAGCTGAATTACTTAGTCAAATCTGCAAGCAGCGCTAGTGTGTGTTAGGTGACTGTCATGCACTATTAGTTCATTTATGGAAATCTTTCCAGAAATATTGATTGTTTTCATGGTTGGCTTCATATCATTACAAGTCATTAGCAAGGTAGAAGAGAAAGATAGCTTAACAATCTGAAAATAAGATAAGCTCAGATTCACTTTTTTCAGTTAGAAGAATTGCTTATGACTCATAAAAAAATTTAATAAATTAAAAATACTTGAAATACTTTTCAGCCACATAATTTTCAATGACCCTATCCAAGAAAGGCAGGATCTCAAGTAAATAACAATAACCACATACCTTTGCAAATGTTCTTCTGCCAATGACTTTTGAGTTGTTTTGAATTCATAAATTTGGAAATTTATCTTCCTTTAGGAGTATCTAGTGTTTCAACCTCTTGCATTAAACCCCTCCCCACTACCACCCCCAAAAAATCCAAACTCAACAACAACAAAAACCCCACTCCAATATTTATAATATGAATAGATAATTTCCCTGGCAAAGTTCATAACATTTTCTAAATTGAAAGCTGGAGTAACTTGCACTACCACCAATGTTAATAATTGTATTGAAATAAAAGCTAGTGGAAAATCAGTTATCAATTTTTGCAAGTTGTACTCAAAACTGTCATTTATTTAAATTCTCAATATCTAAAGCTTATTAAATGCCTCTTGCAGGTTAAGCAATAGACTAGCTTGAAACATGAAACTGTTCTTTATGACCATGTACTCAAAGTAAGCCAGAAGCTATTTCTCTTATACGTATCTGTTACTTTACAAAGATTGTTTTACAAAAGGTAGCTTTTCTCCTGTGTTAAAATTTACTGTTTTATGGAACAGAACATAAAATCTACCTGTTACCTGTAACCTGAACTTTCTCGCAAGGTAATGACCAGGATCTCTTTCAGGACTGGCTACAGATATGTTCTGTCAGAAGTTATTTTTTTGTCAGCAAATCCATACTATTTATTCTTCAAGCAGAACTTTTTGAAAACCTTTAGCACAAGCATAGGTCTGATTTCCTGAAATGGGAACATTTCATTCAGCTCTCTCCATGTATCTCAGATCTGCTCTGCAGTTCTGAACTCAGTCTGCTTTAGTGCCATATAAATGGCACTGCAGTGGTTCTGCAATGTGGACAGTATTGCCCTCTAAATATGTGAGGCAACAAAATTTCATTCAGGTACAACACCTTAGAAGAAAAAAAAATTCACAAAAAACCTGCTTTCAAGAAACATCTTAATTTACAATGAATATAAAGACTATCTCTAACCCAGGCTATGGAATCCAAACAAAAATCCAGATGGCATTTACAAGCCTGCTTTAATTACAGGCTTCTTGAATAAACTTGAATTTAACTGCTTATCCATGGTTGTGCAACACCACAGGGCTTTGCTAAGGGACCACATGTGGGGTCCATTAGAGCCAAATGAGGCTGAGCATAAGGGAGCAGCTTGGCTGGAGGGGGTGTAGTTCCAGACCCACAACTGAAGATAGAGCTGTGTTTAGGAAGGAGAATGAGACTTTACAGGATCAGGTATGTTTCCTACTCTTCTGGACATGCAGATTGGCCTCAAGAAGAGCCTGTTGTGGTGTCTGGCAGGGAACTGGGAGCTAGTGGGAGAGCACACTTCAATCCCACTGCTGTCTTTTTGAAAGAAGTCTGTGCTCATTTGTAGGGAAGGACGTCTCTTTGTGAGAAGGATGTAGCCTAGGGCAGTATTGCTGAATTCAAATAGAAAATAAACCTTTTAAGAACAGAGGAAAGCTTCTCTTCAGGAACCATGTTAGAAATGCAATAAAGCAATTATCTAATTTACCTGCTAGCATGCGAAGGAAACAGAAACAACCTTTTTCATGTATTCCTGCTGCTTAATATACAGCTGATGCTTTCCCTAAAATACTCAAAGCATCCTGATGCCAGGAGAATTGGCACTTTTAGATCTACTTACGATCCACAAAGGAAGTGAAGAGCATTCTGAACCTGCTCAGTCTGCTGCCTTCATCTGCCCACATCCGCACCACTCCTGTCCCTGTCTGCAGCGTGACATCATTGGCCACCGTGCTGCAGAACTTGGCCTTCAGGTTTTCAATGGAACTGCTCCCATCATACACAGCCACAAAGTTCCTTTTGCATTCATTGGAATGCTCCATTTGATAGTCCAGAAATCGCATATAGATCTGTTGGGACAGAGGAATCAATGTCTTTAGGAGAAGAAATACAGAGAGGAGAGTTTTCTTTCTTAGAAAATCTTTAATAAGACTTTTTTTTCCTTTACACACAAATGTAATTCCCAATGCACAAAATTAAACTTAGATTTTCTCACTAGATGTCTGTGTGGAATATTACCTGACAGATATCTTGGGTATTCATTTCACTTGTCCCTGCTCCCCAGAACAATCTTTATTTAAAAATTTACTTTGATTTATTTCTGCTCCCTTTGGAAAAACAGTACAAAGCAACACACTTCGTGAAGGAGCCCCCAAGAAGCTTGGCTAAATGTGAAGTCTGTTTCTCTAGAAGAGATATAAGGAACTCATAAATGTACTGAAATAATTTTTAAAGTATTTTGACTGTTCTCTTTCCTTTCTTTCTAATTCATAAAAACAAAGTTAAAATATAGGGGAAAGAGTCAAGTCTGAAAAGCTCTGAAGTAAAATAAGGAAATTAAAATTTATTGCTTCAGAATGAAAGCTAATTACTGTACCATAGCTGTGTTATGGAAGACACAAACCATGAAGTCAGGAGTAATTTGAATAAAAATGGAAACGAGAGAGAAGTAAGATGGCTGTGTAGGAAGAATTAATGAATTTAAGCTAATCTTAATACTTCTAAAAGCAGAAATCTAATCCAAGAGAAGGCAGCATACGTGTTAGAACACATGCAGCAAGGAAATTAGAAAATTGAGATGGTATTTAAAGAGTAAGTAAATAATTTATTTTGCTGGAGCAGGAAACTCGTGCGAGATTGTAATTCAGTTAAAATTACATGAACACATCAAAAGGCTTTCAAATCTCTTCAATGGCTGTATTTGAATCCTCAAAATTCTTCTGCAAATTTTGAGATATGAAACCAAGTCACCTAAGCATGCTGCAAAGGCTTTTTAGAGGTTAGCAATTCTTAGACAGCCATTGTGTTCCCAGAGAAGAAATGTGCCCAGGGGCAGGCAGAGGTGCTCCTCTCCTGCCCACGAGCTCTCCCAGCGTTCCTGGGCTCAGCCTGGGGCTGTCTGAGCTCTCACCTCCTGTCCCACCCATGCCAGGGATGCTGCAGAGCTTCTTTCCTACACCTGGCAGGCTTTATTGAAAACATGGTAAAAGAGAAGGGCAGGTGACACTTGTACCCTGTGGCATTTCCTTTCCAGTGCTTCCAGAGGCAGGTTGGCCAGCACTGCCTTCCCTTGCACATTCTGTGTGAAGATGCAGCCTGTGCCATATTAGCTCATGCTTCACCTCACTGTTTTGTGATTTTCAGCATATATATTTTTTCTTTTTGTCTATTTTCCTTTTTTTTTTTTTTCCTGCTGTTTTTGTTAGATTTACTGCTGAAAACTCTCAGCTACATTGAGAACCTGTTCTCCATTGATGACTTATCTCGAAACCATGGATGTGAGCTGCAATTGCTAGTATTTGGGCTGAGAGAGGGCATTTCTTTTTAATGATTGACTTTACATATCGGCTACAAAATTACAATGGAAACTAAAAATAATTTAGCGCACTTTTAGGAGAGCTATTATTTGTGTAGTAACAAAGGAATAATCCCATTAAAAGCGTTCACTTCTTCACAAGATCCTTTGGATTGATGTGTTAGGCAAGTATAAAAGGTCCTTACTCTTACATTATATTGATTATTCTGGTAATTTTATGAAATCTGGAGGTAATTTATTAAGTGTCTGCTATACACATTTTAAAAGCACTTTCATTGCTGCACTTGTGTCAGTTTTAAAAGTTTATTTTTATTACAAAATCAAATAGAGGGAATTAAAAATGTCTATGCTTATTTTTCTCAAGAGACTGGACTGTATCAGATCTAATGGATTTTATCATCATAATTCTGCCTGAATTGAAGCTTGAGAAACCACTGTCAGAATACTAAGAATTATTTTTCTGTAATGTTTTAAATCAATAATTTAAGAAGATGATCTAATTTCAGGACTCACCCAACTACAACTCTGCCTTCTGGCAACATTCAATAATTTATTAAAATACTTAAGCACAAGACCTGGTGCACTCAACTGGCAATGTAGAGAGAAAATGGGTTTGTTATTGTTTCTGGAAGAACTGCGTCTATTACTTAGACTAGTATAGGGCTCTTGGGAATTGACTCACTTCCTCAAAGGCTCAAATATATTAATGGACTTGTAATTTCTTTCACGTCTTTTCCTCTTATTATCATCTTTTTGGTTACTGTTTTAGAATGCACTTGCAAGGTGGTTAGCAGGGCTGCTAAGTTAACTGTTAGGAGTGTGTAAGAAGGCAGAGGGAAGGTTTGTCATCTTGGCAGCTACTGCTTCAAAATATTTTTTAATTTTTATGTATGAGCAAGCAGAAGCAAAATTAAAGATGTGCAGCTATATGGAGAAAAGTATGTGCTCTTCTGTGCAACATATTTAACAAATACGACTCAGGCTTTATCTATTGCATTTTGGGGTTTTATCCTGCTGTCTGCCTAACAAGGTAAAGCCCTTCCATTTAGCTCAGACTGCTGATGAAAGTGGATTTTAAGGTGCTGGATTGTGAATTAGATGGGAGAAGCAGGCACATGTTCTGTTGACTTTGAACAGAACCAAATTCTCCAACAGAACCACTGGAGGCAAAACATTAAGCTTTGGCAGTGAGATTTACTGGTAATCACTGAAGATGACAGCCAATGTTTTTGCCTGCAGTCTTCCAATACAACCAGAGTCCAAGTCAAATGCCCCTGAAAACTGTTGCTTAAACAGTTTTCACAGTTATTTGGTATTTGAAGCTTCAAATAATAGGAAGCCAGTACTATGGGCTTGTATAATTTTAATTTCAGAAACAATTCTCTCTCTGGATTTCCTAAGCCACTGCTACATGACTCATTTCAGTGAAGTACATCATTATGCAAATCACAGTTAGTGACCATTACCTGTTGCTACTGCCATGGAAACCCATTATATACTGAATTATATGAACAAAACCCACCTTAGCATTTGGAGTGGCTTTAATTGTCCAGATACAGTCAACTGCTTGTCCTGGTTTTGTTTTTCCTTCTTGTTCTACTTGACTGGAACGTACTATTCCATCAGCTCCTGAGAGCTCAAATTGGCAATCTAGGGAGAAGATAGAACTTGCTGTCAAATGCAATATGACATTAATTTAAAATTTCATGTATAAAGAAATTGTTACTGCAATACTATACCTGGGATGGGATTTAAAATACCTCCTAGGTAAGTGAAGTCAGGATCTGCAATAGAAAGAAGTCATGAATCACAAGGGCTATCAGTGCTTGAGAATCACTTCAAGATTTAGTATTATCTGCAGATTATGTCCACTTATTATTATGTCACCAAATAAATTGCCAGAAAGTTTATTGAATCAATTGGAGCATATAGAGACAAAGTTTTTTTTAGATGAGAACATTATTCCACAAAGATTGACCTTATCTGAAAAAAGGTAATTCTACTCTGACAGCTCAGATTTCTAGCATAACACCAAGAATTACTATTCAGTATTTTGTTCCTACATTATATTCTGAATTTAACTATGTCAGTTTTTACTGAAACTGCTGGAGCTCCACAAGAATACAGGGAGTATTTCTCTGTGCAAAAACCTTATTTAGATTTATTTTATCAGACTGCTGTCTATGTAGTTCTGAACAATTTGAACTGAGTTTAGCAGAGTATATCAACAGTTTGAAATTGCTAACTGCTCTTAAAAAGTATGTGAAGAAGGCTGTTCAGTCCTAAAGGTACTTTTCCCTGGGTTCTCTGTGTCTCTTGTATTATGTCACGTAGAACAGTTCTAGATGTGGTTTATGAAATGTTGTTCTATGCAAAGAAAGCACTAGCTCATGAGAAAGTGCACGCTTGTTTGGTACAAAGTTATTTTCCAAATGAAAGTTCGGAGTTTTGGTTTTTCTGCAATCCTATAAATTTTTTTTCTGTATAGGAAGTTAATCACTTCCCCTAGAATGCCTCAGTCCTGAGCTTAAGGCTCAGCACAGTTCAGAACATGCCTTCTTTGTCCTCCTCTTTTTATTTACCTATAGTGAAAATCTATGATCACTATATCCAAAATTCCACAAGGTTTTCAACCTTCTTTGAAGCTGATTTTTTTTATGAAGCAGGAGTATGCACATATGTTCCCTTTCATTTTCACAACTGTAAAATATTTTACCATACTTCATATAAACAAAGAGGAAGGAAAAGAAAAATATCAGTCCTTCAGTTGTTGCAATCTATTGTGAAAATAATATACAGTTTAAATGTATATTTAAAGTTCCAGCCTGCAACTATGGAAATTTAGTTTTGAAAGTGATGTTGATGAAATGGCTTTGGAAATGGATTTAGCAAAATGCATAAGTACTGTCCCTGTGAAAACATTTTATCATGCAATTCCCAACGGCCTGGTCACCATGTTAATCTGAAGTTTCTGAGTCTAAATCCCTAAGCAGTAATATATAATCATGAATTGTGTTTTCATGTGCTCTAGGGGTAAAGATAACATTAAGAAGTTATGTTTGTGTATACATTTATCGAAGTAGTAGAGCTGACACTTGTATATTGCCTTTTGTCCCAAAGGACAATAAAATGCTGATAACTACATGTGTAGTAGCTATGAAGTACAATAGTCAAGCACTGCACAAGGACATCAGGTCAAATTTTCATGTAAGAAGGATGCCCTGCCAGGTTTAAGTAGCTCCACAGAGCAGATGTAATTTTTGTTTGTCTAAAGGCACTGTCAGCACATTGTCCTCTCCTCTGCACCTGTGAACTACACAGCACTTTGAGCAAAGAGCAGCTCTGTTGTCTGAGTCCAAGGGTTGAGGGAATCCAGTTATACCGAGAGCTCGTGCTTACTGTGCAGATATTTGCTCTGGGTTTTCAGAATGGAGATTTAATGCCACTTTTGCATCTAGCTGAAGTGCTACTGTAAAGTTGCTTCAGGTGTTTTTGTCCAGGGCCTTACACTCCTAGAAGAGAAGCTGGTGAAAAGGCAGCTCTTAGCATAAGCTGTCTTTCCTTTCCTACCACTGGTTAAACTAGTACAAGTAGAGAAATAAGGAGGGGTGCTGCTGAAGACTTCAGCATGAACAAGCTCAACTGTCTTCCTCACCAGAAAACTACAAGCCTGTAATTCCCTTTAGTCAAGATTCCCCAAGTGCCCTGTAGGATTAGCAGGACTGAGACTGTGCCTATGACATTGTCACTGTGCTCATGCTGAAATACAGCTCTAGGCTGAGAGGACCAACACACGCACACAGAGTTCAATGGGAGCAGATAGTCATTAACTCAGTCAGAATTTTAGACATCTTTACCTGGTATAAATGAGTACTTTGCTTGAAATCCCTTTCCTTCCAGCTCCTCATCAGAAATAAACTTGATCCACATAAATCTCCCTGTTGATCTAATTAGTGCAGGACTTTTCAGACCACAGTAACGATTAATGAGAGGGGAGAACCCAAAAGGTCCATCTCGAACCTCCAGGTGATCAAACCGACATTCAAATGAGGGTTCTATGTAATAGGGTTCATCAAAGGTCAACTCAATTCTTTGTCGTGGAGCAGCTAGACATAAAAAAAATTGAGCAAAAGATTAAATGAAGATCTTGATAAAAAACACAAAGACATGAAGTAATGAAGAGACAGGCCTCCAAATCAGCAAGATAAACAAGAAACTGGAAACTTCTCAAAACACATCTGCAGTCTGCTACAAAAATTTTAAAAATTATTTTCTAAAAGATACTTTTGCACAGAATCATACAAACTTTTTTGCTTGCTGATCTTAATTGTTGAAAATTCAGAAATCACATTAATTTAATGTAGTGCATATAACAGATATGAACATATATGCAAAGGAATTCAAACAAAGTTAAATATTGAGATATAAATTAAATTTTGTGAAAGTAAAATACATAAAAAAGGACAAAACACTGAGCTATGCAGAAAAGAATGGAAAAGAGAAAGATATGAACTACTCACTATTTCTTAAATGTGAAGTCCAAATGTGTAGATCCTTTCACAGAAGACATCTTTTATTAGAATATTCAGAGAAGTGTAAGTGCTTCATGTATTGTGCAATGTCAGTATTATCCAGGTGGCTACAGACGTTGGTGAGTCCGAGCCTGTGGCAGCCTAACATCAGGCTTCGGATCAGAGCCCTAAATCCTGACTCTCACATCCTTGGTTTGGATCCCAAGACATTCTCTTGTATGAATGGCTTTAGTGTTCCTTGTTCTTGGCATCGGCTGCACTACGTGAACTTCCCGATCCTGGCTGGGATCTGGAGTGACAGCACTGAGGAATCACAGGCTGCCTGCTTTTCCTGAATGCCAAAAGGATTTACTCTTGCGTCTCCAACACTCCCGTCAGACCTTCTGCCTCACTCACACAAGCTACACGCATTTGGAGTTGCTGTGAATGTTGGCAGTGGTCTGTATGAAGGAGCAGATCTTGGCTAGAAATTCTGGAGGGCCTTGGCCCCACTCAGGCACCCACAGTGTTTCTGTGGAAGGACTGAGGAGAGCTGGAGCTGCTCCTGTGCCCCAGCCCTGCAGCAGGGCAGGTGGGCTGCTCCCCAGAGCCCTCCTGGGCAAGGTGCAAAACCAAAATGTTCTTGGGAACAAGTGAAAAGGAGGGACCTGTGAACCACTACTGTGCTGTATAAATAAAAACTCATCAAACCTCATTACTTGAAATATTTCAATTAATTGATATGAATCTGACGATTAGGCTGACTAATATTTTTAGCTGACTTCAGTGGGTTTTGGGTGCATTCTAATAAGAGGAAAAATAATTGGAGTGTCTCAAGTCTTGCAGCCTTTATTTAAGATATTCTCATTGGAATATGGTTTTATTCTAGTTAATGACATTTTTTTGTCCTCATCAAACTATTTTAATAGTGACCTCAGCAGTGCTAACAAATCTCTATATTTTTAGTACAGTGTTATGGCCAGATATATCTTTTTTATTAATGAAGGATAGCATAAAGGTTTTCTGCTGGTGAGATAGAACAATACTGGCAATATGAAATAGCCTTTTGCAATCTATTATCAGTGATATTAAGATAACAAGCTACAGTTTTTATCTTACTAATTCCATACCTTCATAGATTGCAGTAAATATGCTGCTCCTTTTCCTGGCTTTGAGGATATATCATATTCTATGTACCTAATTTATTAATGTTTGCATTTCTTATTTATTTGTTGTTATTATTAGAGAGAGAAAATTTAGCTTCTTCTTCAAGTAAATGACTGCAGAATTCATTATATTACCAGCACAGCCACACAACACTTTACAGCAGTGTAAGATGAGTTTTAACAGTTCAAGATTTTCCATTTAACAGTAAGATTACAGCAAAACAAAATAGAAACACAGCACGTACCTTCTAAGATATAGATGCACTCTTGATTGGGTGGGTACATGTTTGGGTAGTTTGGTGAAGCAAAATGTCCTCCATTACTGGTCCGGACCCAGTTGTCACACTGAGTGGGAGGAATGCGATTCACTCCAATGTTTTGCCCACCTTAAGCCAAAAAAACCAAAAAGCAATCAAATAAGTTTCCTCTGCAAGTGTAAAACTCTGGCATGGCACATTGCCTATAAAGAAGAAAGTAATTTATTTTGGTTTTTATTTTGGTTGCAAGCCCTCTTGGTAAGGCACTCATTAATATTTATCTAAGAAAATCTTATGCTTAGTTTTGTGGTGGGGTATATCCTAAATTGAATATCAAATATATCCAGAGATCCTTGGAAAGGAGAGGGAGTAATTTTTTTCGTTGTTTTTACCCTACTCAGTTCAGGTGTTTTATACCCTTCTTTCCAAGTGAAATAGTCACAGTGGCTGCCAATACCATTGTTTTATGGGTTATGTCATGTCCGTTCCCATGGAAATATAATTGGAAATATTTGTCAGCTTTCACTGGTTTTGACCCTGATTCCAGAATATACTAAGGTGGGATATATATTTACAGTAATTTGTTGGAGTACAGAATGTTTGTAACAGAACAAATTACAATATGCAAATACACTAAATACAGCAATGACAGTTAATAAAATTCCTAGCAATAGGTAGATTGCCCTTGGTAGCTAAGGGTCACATTTAGGATCAAAGCTCCTCTTCCAGATGTACAGGGAAATGTGTTCTGTGACTGAGATTATGCAGCTGAGTAAAGTAATCCTTCCTGCTGGATCATTCACAGGAGTTTGGTTTTCATTTCCTCATCCATGGAGAAGAGGTTGGGAATAGTGTGATCTCTGACATTCTTAAGTACCTTTGGCCCTTCTCCTTGGTATCAGCAGAACTGAAAGAGTCAGACACAGGATATATATTTTCTGCTAGATATTTCCTAAATCTCACAGGGTATTCTCATAGTGTTATTTGTATTTACACTGTTTTAATTTGCAGACCTGTGAGAGGACATCCATTCTGGTACAGGTCTTAAATGCCTCCAGTAAATTACATCACCTTCCACTAGTATCTTGACAGCTTTTTGATTTATGGGGGTGAAAACTCTCTCTCCCGCAGAAATTTTTCAAGGAAATTCTGTAGGTGGCAGTTCAAGGAATTCTTCTCTCTTTAAGTGTGGGTAATCCCACATATGAAAAGATAAGGTTTGTGAAATTGATTCCTTCCCCACTCAGCAGGCTTCAAAAATGTTTGTGGGTGGACTATTTGAAAAGCTTGTTGTCAGATACAGAAAACATGAATTTCCGTGGTGGTTTCTTTCCCACCTCTAACATCTAAAACTGTAGAACTTTACCTGGGAAAGTGAAACTTCCATGTTCTTTGTGACTGCATGGCTTTGTTCATTTGGGAGAAAATGCAGCAAATGGGGGAGAATGGAAAATACTACAGTTCATATTGCTAATTCAAGAGCTGTTAATATCTGAATGCAAACATTTCACTTATATTGTTCAATTAAAAGTTCTAAAACTGTTCCATTTTATGAGAGAAAATCATCAAACTAAAATTGTACCTTGTGTCTTCTGTGCAACGGCAATGCCTTCCACTACCAGGATTGTTACAAGCAACACTGATAAGAGAAATTGGACAGAAAAAACATCAGTAATTCTTCAAACTTATAGACCATTTTCTGTAGTCCCAGTTCATGCAAATCCTGCCATCACTGACCAAAACAAATCAAAACATACAAAAATATGTAATTAATTTATGTGTTTTCTTTAAAATTTCAGCTTATGAAACAAGTGCAGTCTATGTGCACTGCTGGTCCTTCTTCCAGGTTCCTCAAGAAAGTGTGTATGAGAACAGCAATTCTTTGTTAGAGGGGACATTTAAGAATATTTTCTAGAGTTTACATGGTACCTGTTGTCTATAAAACTTTAATATCCCGAAACAAGATGTTTCACTGCTATAATGAATCATATTTATCCTAAAACTCTATTTGCATAATATGTGCAAAAGACTTCTCCAGCTTCCAGGAAATTAATCCAGACCACAGGAGACACTGCATGGTCTTAACCCCTTCATGGATTTCACAGATTTCTGCTTGTAAGACTGGTCTTTGTCTGCTTTGACTGGTTTTTGATGCTGCCACAAAATACCAGTGATTTGTTCAAATGATGGATCATAGAAAATGGGCAGATGCAAGTTCTGGAGACAGAGAGCCTCTCCCATACATTTATATTTCCCTGCACCCAAGAAGCACGTGTATGAACAGCACATATGAAAACTCCATATTCCATGGTCCATCAGCAATTTTAAAGCAGGCTTAATGTCCAGGTTTTCCTAAAATGCTTTGTCAACTTTGTCACTTCAAATTTTTTGGGATTACCGGGAGGGGGAAAGAGAATGAAATTGAGTAAATTAATATGCCACTCTTCAAATCTTTCATTTGCTTCCATCTGGAGTATCTCAGAAATTCTGGACACATCTCTTACAGAACCAGCTAAGACGCCTGGACTGCCCTGGACTGGAGGCTGAGGGGAGCTAGGATACAAATTACAAAATCACAAGTGTCATAGAGATTGAGAACTGAGCAACTACTACTAGTCTCTTCCAGTAGAGAACCAGGGGGTGTCAGACAAAGCGAGCAGGTGGTATATTCAAATTAAACAAAGATTTTTTTTATTTTTTTTAAATGCACATAATTCATAATGCATCCTTGAGGTAGAAAATTCTGTTTCAGGAACCCCTTAAGCCTTAAGTTCCTAGAAGTCTGGGATGTATTTGGGGCAAATATAATTTGCTCTACTTTTATACTCGTTCTGCTTTTATATCTGTGCAAAAGAAGATACCAAGATGGACCTTTGATGTGACCTGATATGGCCCTTCCCATATTCTTCATCTACTTGTCAGTAGATGGCCTTAGCACTGCAAGGCAAAAAAGTGATTTCAGCAGGAATTTTATTGTCACATTCAAGAAATTCTTTTTGTTTTCCCAGCCTTTCTGCCTTGTTGCTCAGGCATTTACTGGCTCAGTTGAAATGGCATTTTTTCCATCTGTGGTTTTCCCTGTGTTGCTGCTGGACTTTGAGCCCTTTAGAGCTCCAGAGTGAGCATGCACTGACTGCAAACCAGTGATCTTGACTCAACTGATCCAGATGCTCATCTAACGCTGGCATGGATGTATTATCTTGGGAAAAGATAAAAGGAATCAAAGTCTGCTCCTGAAAGTGTCCATCTAGCATTTATGTTTTATTATCTATGTTTCTGCTGCCCTTTCTTCTCTCTACCCATATTGAAGCAGACTTTGTTACACTCTGAAACTTTCCTCAGCAACAACTGCTTTTTCCTGTGTAAGTCAGGTTCGTAACTGTGGGTGTTTTCTAAAATACCATATGGGTCTTGCAAACAAGTGCTATGTTCTTAGAAGCTTATGTGATCTTTAGGGATGGATTATGTTAGAATAGGTGAAGATTTAAGTAGTTTTTCAATTTCCATCTTTGTAATAATTCTGCATTTTCATCAATATTAATATACTTAAAAATATACTATCTGTCATTATCCAAATACAAAGCAGATGCTGCTAATCATTACTGACTCACCCTAAACTGAAAATTCCTCCTTCAGAAGAAAGTATCTAGCACCCATTACTGGTATTCAGTTATGGATCTTCACTAGTCTTTAAAGCAAATAAACAAATATCCCATCTTTATTCACATATGTTTGACATTAGTTTTCAGCTGGTTTTAGTTTTTACTGTTCCTTACATAGATGGTATTATTTCAAATTTATTTACAGTTTATTTTTGCAGCTTCTCTGTTTAAACTGTACACTGAAATATCTGAGTTTATGAATTGCATGGACTTACACTGCAATTGTACTCCTGAGATCACTTGTCCCTAACAGAGAATCTTGACAGTGGTTATAAAGTTGTCAATCTCTTTTCCTGGTTTTTCTTCTATGCTGGTTTTAGTGCAGCACTTCAAAGTTGGCTTTTATTGTTAAAATAAAGTCAATTTCCACAATTCTGTGTCAGTACGTTCTATTGAATTCACCTTTCCTAAAGATGTGCTATTCCCACCCTCTGTTTTACAAGGACAGAGACATTTATGCTGCTTCTCAAAATGGAAAATGAGATTTGACTATTTTTCTTTAAGCAAACACACAGAGAAATATGAATGAAGCTAACATGCAGCTAACAAAATGAATGCAAATAGTCACTTTCAAGTAACAGTAAAAAATTGAGGGTTTTTGGTTTGCTTTGGTTTTTATTTAGTACAGGTCTTTACCTACTACTGTTACAATACACTTTTTTTTCAAATTTCAGTATGCACCTACATTTATTTCTGTGATTGTACTGATGGAAACAACATAGGAATAGATGTTCTGTTACACTAACCATTGATTTCCCTTCTTGCTGATGTGGATAAAGAAACAACCTCCCTAAAATGACTTCAGAAAGCCTGATTGGCTTTCACTAGAGCTGTGCCATTTCTATAAATAGTCCAGCGCCTGTATGCGTGTAAATGCAAACAAACAGTGCCTATTCCTTGCAGAGCAGCATGGATATGCAGGCAACTGCACAAGATACAGGCTGAATATTTGTCTTACTGTCTTTCTTTCTTCATGTTATATGGATGAGTGGGAATAGTATGGGACACCTCTTTGTTGCCTGCCCTTTCCATCCTCTTCAGTTTTAATCTCTTACACCTCTTTCCTGCCCTTCCCTGGCAATGCCCATCCTTCTCATACTCTCAACAACCTTTAAGATGTATTCAGAGTAGCCCAGGTAGCAATGTTCCAGGGTCTTCTTTCAGCACTACTTTTATTCTGGGTGACAGTACAATAAAGAAAAGGTGTCTCTGGCTAATAGTCTGGATGTGTGCTGTCCTTATCAGTGTGACACTGCTGGCAATAAGGTGGAGAGGACTTACCTGTTCTTCCTGAGAGTACTGGGCAGGATTGCCTGAGGTAGGATTGCCTTAAACTGAGTGCATTGACATGACACAGTATAATGTGGAAAAGCAAACAGGAGTTTAGGGGCTGAAAACAAGGTCTATCAATATTCAGGATGAAAAGAAAAGAAAAAAAATCAGTCAGGATATTTTTAGACCTTTCAGACTGTCTCCATTAACCCATTTTTGTGTACATTTTAAAAACAACAAAGCCATCTCCTGGCGTCCTAAATTCATACTACTTCCTGGAAAAATAATTTCAAATCTCAAAGACTAATGTGGACAGCACAAATCCATTAGAAGGAAGATATCTAGGACAAATCCTGGAAGCTGGTTCAGTACAGAGCTAGTGCTGAACCACTGTCCTGGTAGTACAGCAGGGACACAGTTAGACAGGGACACAATTAGAACAGTCATGAGATACTTTCACTAACAGTCTTGTAGCACTTCCAGAAGGATGAAGAATGATCTTGTTATTTCTAATAAACTGTAATTCAAATGGTTACATGCACCTGAACTTACAATGGAACACAGTATTCCTCTGCTCCTATTTTCCTCTTTTAAAGTCTCTTACAGATCTCTCTGACATGACTATTCTTCAGTGTGGATGAAAGATAAGTCTTAGCTCCAGAGTCTGTTATGATACAGGAAGCACAAGTAGGGAGTAAAAATGCCACTTCAACATGGCTTGCTGATGTAAGCAACAGCACACAGAGTGCAGGATTGCATTGAATATCAAAGGGATTCAAGGGCTGAATGGTTTGTTTTTACTGGGTAAGTATGGTGAGAATTCTATCAGAAGATCCTGACCTATGGGACACTGACCTTACGAACTTTGAGATACTCAGGTGATAACTGTAATAAAAATTAGTGCTTCTGCACCTTACAGTGAGCTTCTACTTCATGATCTGTACCCTGCAGAAGAGGCCATCATTAAGCCAACAGCAGCATGGACACCAAGGCAGAGATTGAGGAGCTTCTTTTATTCATGAATCTGGTATTTGCTACAGACTTGTATTTCATGAATTATTGTATAGTACTTTTGTACTGCCATTTAAAGCTCTGATAGTTTTTACCTGTGTGAGCATGAACTAGGAATTCAGAAAAAGCAGCAAGCTTCTGTCTCTGTTTTTAAAAGCATGGATTTTTCATTTTCTTCACTTCTTTGCATGAAATATTTTAGATCACATAGCCTGCAGACAGCTGTATAAATTTTAAAGAGTGAAGACACTAAACATAAAATGCAAGTTCTTACTATCCTGTTGCTGAAGTAGGCTTATGGAATAATATAAGCCCTTGGTGTAATAAACTCTGAATTGTTTGCAGAAGTCAAGATGTACTTTGTTGGTATTGCCTAAATTTTTAAAAATAAATTTAAGCTAAAAAAGAAAAAATCAGGCAATTTCTGATTGGAGTATATATAGAGAGGTTTACGAATGTGTGGCTCCAACTTTTCTTTAAAAATGAAAATAATACAGTTAGTTTTGCAGTAAATTTGTGCTCAACTCAATACTGAGAAATCAGCATGTTGCTTAGAAAAACAAGTGCTTTAGGCTGCAAATCTGACATATGCTTGTACTTTCTGGCAAAACATCTTCTTCAGATTTCATGGGATACAGTACAGCTCTGAGCTCCCTATGATATGTCTTTCCCCTGCTCTTTCTGCATGCTCTAGGGATCTTCACAGAAACAACAGACTCGATTTGCTGTGTGGCTCTGAGAGCAGTGTCTGTCTTCAGTGATGACAATGGGGGATCTATGCATGCAGGGCAAGCTGAATATCAAACTG